GGAAGTTATTCGGAAGTGAAATTGTATTATTATGGAATACAACTAATTTGACTTAAATAATATTAACATTAATAACCCAGCAAAAACTCGGTAAAGGGTTGTACTTCCATAACTACTTACTTTTCAGTGACTACTACTTATCGTCTGCATTACTTAGAAGAACTCTGGTAATGACTTTCTTATAATCTGATAAAGAAGTACCTTACTTTCGGCTTCGTCACTTTATTTGCACATATTATTTGATTGCGACTTAAGAATTGTGTTTTACAAAAATGAAAACGAAATTAAATTTGTATGTGAAAACCATTATTTGACGCGCAATAAAATAGCTAAGCAGTGGTGCAGTGGGTAGAACATTTGACTAACAAACCGAAGTCCTTGATTCTTTTTTTAGCTGGCTCTTTTTATTATTAAAAAATAAAGCAACTTACTAAACAACTTGTTTGTAAGAGAAATTGCAAGTACTTCTTTAACTCCCTATTTGTAAACGAGCGTAGAAGTACTTGCCTCCAATGATATCACCGTGTTAAAATAATTACTTTAAATGCTAATGAAGAAGTAGTGAAAAGAGGTTTTATTAGCTTTTTAACTCAATACTTTTCAATGTAAGTTTTTCCTGGGAAGGGTAGATACATTTAAAACAGAAGCCCAAAAATAAAATTTTTTATCTCACAAAAATGTAAGAAAAAAATATCTTCAGCATTGAAAAAAATAATTATTTTCGCTTCTTCGAAAGTCATTTAACATCGCTTCCACAGAAGGTAAAAAAAAATTCTCTAATTGCTACTTCTGAAGTGGTGATAAATGTTATTCTTTTGGAAGTACTTCGCTTTATGTTTGCTGGGTTACTAAGTTAGTTACTGATTTTGAAATGTTTCAACTAACAAATTCACGTTCAACAAATTTATGTTATGGTCAATTCCATAAAAAAAATAATCATAATATAATTAAAAGATTATTTTTTCTGCAATTGAATAATACTAATTTTCAATTTATGTATATTTTATCCGTTGGCACCCTTTTAATATCCATTCCAACAAAGACATGAATTTCAGGGTCATAGAGAACTGAGACGAATGGATATGGATCTGGACATAAAATAAATTAATCGAGAACTTACATACATATGTTGGAATTTAAAAAGCCTGTTATATGTAGTTTAGGTTAAGATTTTAAGAGTTATTGTAAATTTATGCAAAGAAAGATTTAATAATGAATTAATAAAATGAAAAAATAAATGAATTTCAGATTTTAATTACGTGACCTACCGTGCAGTGAGAGTATGCTAATTAATGCAAGTAAATTAACACACATATGTACTTTACTTACTGCTGAAGGTATGACAAAATTCATACGATCGTACTTGTTTTTTATACTTCTTACTTGATGTTCAAAAGTAGAAAATTCCAGTTTTACGTAGTATGTACAATGTACATATATGTATGGATTTATATGAATAAGAAAGATAATATCTGTAGTGTTAGATCTTAAATTTTGCATTCTATTGAGCAAGAATTTTTTAAATTTTTTGGAAGTAAATCTGGCATTTCTAAAGTCTGATCGGGAAAATTTGAAACGGGTATAGCCAAGGAGTATTCGAGCTTAAGTTATGAAAATATACCCCACAAATGCTGCAGGGGAGTAGCTATTGGAGCTCGTTTCCCATCCGATATTTTATTCCGATCAGACTGGCCGTTTAGAAATGCCAGATTTATTTAAAACAATTTCCTAATTTTTTATCCCCTACATCTAAGAATACTTAAAAACCATATATGAAAAGTTTAAGTTTCTGGAGAAAAAGTTTCTGGAGGAAAGACTCTTATTTAAAAGGTCATCAATATACATTTCCCTGCAATTATGGACCAGTTTTGCTAATTTTCATGAATAATATTCTCATACTTATGATTGGTAGATTATTTCAGGATTTGGAATTCTGATTTAAATGAAGAAAAAGAGTAACGTTTGTTCGTAATCGATAAACTTAGGAACTACGGAATCTAATAGGACAAAATAGAATAGAGTCCACATGTTCAGTCAAGAGCCTGCAAAGAGGACCGGGCAAGACTATTTTTTTTTAACAAATTTTAATTTAAAAAATAAAACTTTATATATAGAGTAGATCTTTCTAAGTCTCTAATCTGAACTTAAACTAAATTTTTACTTATCAAATATACACTAAAACTTGGGTTTCAGTTTTGACGTTTATAACAAATATCACTCGCACACTGAAAATAATAGATATTTTTGAAAATGGACAAAACTATAGGAAAGACTTTAATATGACACAAACATATTTCCTTATTTTTTTAAAGAAGTTCCTGGCATTTAGCACAACATAATAGTTTTACTTTTTTACAGTGATTAAAATTACTAATATATTAGTAACCAAAATGCATATTTTCTCCTATGCATACGTATGTAATATTAAAATATAAATATATTTTATGAATATAATATATTTAATTGCTCCCATTCGAAATATTTCTAGTATTTTTGCTAAAAATATTTACCCATACAAACTATTGCATATTACAGCTTACAGACAAATATAAAATGTTTTCACTTACAATATATTACGCAGCAACTCGCTAACATATTTATAATACCCACATATATTTCATATGGCTTGCCTATAATATTAAAATATTTTCCTACACAAATTATTCGCAGTCAACAATATTGAAGCCATGCGAGCAGTAATATACGAACATGAAATGTACGCAAGCAGAGCATATATGTGCCGACGAAAACACGAAACAAAACGATAGTCGCGACTATCAGGTTACAATATTTTTACTATCAAACTTAAATATTATTTACTATAGGAAATGACTTATGGTCTAAAATTTAACATTTCATGTTGAACTTGAAAAATTATAAAATGTGAAAAATGTATGCAAGATATAACCAAATTTTATTTAGAAAATAATTGAAAACGTTTATATCTATGTATGTTTTATGTATATTATGGGAAAAATGTATGCATAAAATAACCAAATTTTAATTAGAAAATTTTTGAATTGAATTATTGAATGTATGTATTTATTAAATTTATGTTTAATTTTTATGTGGAGTATTAAAATGTATGTATTTGTATTGATTGTAATATAATTAGAAAAAAATTATATAAATACTTAGAGGATCATATGAATGTAAAAATATATTCAAATATGCAACACCATTTATATCTGGTTTTGTATATACATATGTATGTATGTAAGTATGTGTGAAACAATAACAAAAAACACATTCGTCATAAAAATGACCTGTAACAGCACTTTTCTTTCCTACTTTTCACGCACATTCCATAACGGTGGATTACGATAGGTCATTTTTTCCCTGAATTGGTGGAGGGAAGAAGATATGTACGTGTGATGCAAAAATACATTCGTCATAAAAATGACCTGTAGTAGAAATTCTCTTTCCTACTTTATCATTTTACGCACATTCCTTAACGATGGTTTACGCAAGATCCTTTTTTTTGCTTTACTTGAATTTGTGGTGGGGAGAAGAGGAAAGAAATATCATTATTATTTAGTCTCTCTCATGCAAATTCAAAAGGTTGGCAATGGCATATGCAAATTTATTAACACCTATATATTTTTTTCTTCGCGCCTGTTCATTCATTATTGTAAGATAATTGAGTGTATGTAATAATAATTTATAGAAATGTGACACATGCATATGAAAAACATACTTGTATATGTATGTAATACACTCATACATTTTTGTTGTTTTAACCTTTCACAATGTAAAATTACAAAAACAACTTTTTATGTTTTTATGTCCCCTCTTAATTTTTTGCCATCCTGTTACAAATTTCTAAAATACCTATAATTTCCTTCATTATTGATCATTTCATAGACACTACTAATGCATTACTACCTGTTTACAAACTTATTGTCATCCTGTTACAAACAATATGTTTAAATATAGCCTGTAAAAACAATTTTTTACATATATACATATTTGAATATATTTTTACATTCATATGATCCTCTAAGTATTTATATAATTTTTTTCTAATTATATTACAATCAATACAAATACATACATTTTAATACTCCACATAAAAATTAAACATAAATTTAATAAATACATACATTCAATAATTCAATTCAAAAATTATCTAATTAAAATTTGGTTATTTCATGCATACATTTTTCCCATAATATACATAAAACATACATAGATATAAACGTTTTCAATTATTTTCTAAATAAAATTTGGTTATATCTTGCATACATTTTTCACATTTTATAATTTTTCAAGTTCAACATGAAATGTTAAATTTTAGACCATAAGTCATTTCCTATAGTAAATAATATTTAAGTTTGATAGTAAAAATATTGTAACCTGATAGTCGCGACTATCGTTTTGTTTCGTGTTTTCGTCGGCACATATATGCTCTGCTTGCGTACATTTCATGTTCGTATATTACTGATCGCATGGCTTCAATATTGTTGACTGCGAATAATTTGTGTAGGAAAATATTTTAATATTATAGGCAAGCCATATGAAATATATGTGGGTATTATAAATATGTTAGCGAGTTGCTGCGTAATATATTGTAAGTGAAAACATTTTATATTTGTCTGTAAGCTGTAATATGCAATAGTTTGTATGGGTAAATATTTTTAGCAAAAATACTAGAAATATTTTGAACAGAACCATTTTTTAAATATGCATATTTTTAAATATGAGGTAAATGCATATTTATTGCAAAGTCAAAAATAAAAATATAAAAGCATCTACTAATATTTAAACTCTGCTTTTTTACACTTATGTAAATAACTTTTAACTTAAAAAGTTGTGCTTCTCTTGTAAAAGATCAACTTTAAACTAACATAGAAACACACACAAAAATAATTATTTGTGTATGTAGTTTGTTTGTTTAATTTACTGCTGAATAGTACCAATGACTGCATAATAGTATTACATAAATATTTGCTATTAAATTGCTAATCATTTTGTTTTTTCTTTCCTTCATCTCATTTTAGGAAAATGTTTATTGGTGGACTGAGTTGGCAAACAAGTCCAGGTAAGTTGGCCATTTTTCAGCTTTTGTAGTATATAAATTAAGGGTGCCCAAATATATAGATTTTCACGAGATAAGTCTAATTTTTTAAAACTAACTGATGTACAATTTTAGTCACATGCATACATACATACAATACATACATACATACATACATACATACATACATACATACATACATACATACATACATACATACATACATACATACATACATACATACATACATACATACATACATACATACATACATACATACATACGAAAGTGCCCATATTACTTAGCATTAAAAAATCCCAATTATTCCTAATTCACGCTCTCATTCACACATACATACATACATACATACATACATACATACATACATACATACATACATACATACATACATACATACATACATACATACATACATACATACATACATACATACATACATACATACGAAAATGCCCATATTACTTAGCATTAAAAAATCCCAATTATTCCTAATTCACGCTCTCATTCATACATACATACATACATACATACGAAAGTGCCCATATTACTTAGCATTAAAAAATCCCAATTATTCCTAATTCACGCTCTCATTCATCATTCAACCCCCAATTACGTACTGAATGACATGATTCCCCGTACAAAATTTGTGCGTAATTCAGTTTGAATTACGTACGAATTACGAATGAATGAGTGTCATCTCTAATTTTTATCGGGTATTTATCATAATCAGCTGTTTGTTTTCATTGGTTGGAGACAAATAAAAAATTAAATTGCAAAAAAATGCAAATAAATAGAAAATATACAACTTAAACAGTTGAAATAATTGTCCAATTCACAAGTGGTCTTTGTATTTGGTATCGTTTATTAAAATACAGAATTCCGATATCTGCTTGTGAACAGCCAATTGTATTGTAAAAAGCCATGTTGTAAAAAAGAAAGAAAAACATCTTCAATATTTATAAAAATACAATTAAATTGGAAAACTAAATTAATTATAGCACAAATATGAATTATTTTTCATTTTATTTCACTTAAAAGCCCTTTTTTAAATTTACTTTACTTTATGAAATTATTCTTCTTCTGTTTTATCTTCTTTAAAATTGGGCATTCACGTGAGAATGATAGTTTGACATTAAATACGAAATAAATAAACATATGAAAAACAAACGTCAAGTTATACGAGCTTTTTTAATTGAAATTACCAACAACATTTATACACAAGTGTAAACTAATACACACGATACATAGATACACGAGGCTTGTGAATTGGACAAATGTAATAAACGTATTTTTGTATTATACACACACACAAAAATATTCCAAAAAATTACAAAATAATGAATGAAAAAAAAACAACATGGCGATGAACTGTGTAAATGAATTACGAATGTGTCGTAGAAACGGATTATAAGTAATTTTCCCAGTTATCCGATTGGACTAAAGTTATACAACAGTTAGTTTTAGTCATAAAATCTGAATAAAATCGACATTTTTTGGGCATCTCTTAAAAATTTTTTACCAACAGTTTCTGTCGACAAAGTGTGAAGTATTTAGAGCTTACATCTAAATTATTCATTCGTGTGTAATAGTTGGGCAAATTTTGTAATATTTTATATACATACATATGTATATATTTTTTGTAAAGAAATAAAAATTAATTAGCGAAAAAAACCCAAAAATCTATTACCATGTACATTTTTCTATTAATTTAATGTAAATTTGTAATATGTTAAAAAACCGGTGATACCGATAAAAGCAAAAAACAATGAAAAATATAAACCTTCATTTGATTGACTTTTGTGTGTTTTGTCTGCAAATAAAATTTTAACAAATTTGCAACATTTGCACTTGTTAGTTAGTATCAACGATTGTGTAGTGATAAATGCGAACAAACAATTAACAACGGAAAGTTAAGCTGCGCACAGTGGTATAGGAAAAAAAAAAGAGGGAAATAATTCGGTAACTTCTAAACGGTTAATCCGATTTTAATGAAATTTGGTATGCACAAAGAGGAGGTGTTGTCGAGTTTAGGTTTTGAATTTGGACCTTATAGGCCAACCAGGGGCCCGGCGGGGGGTCCTCAAATTAGGACACTCGGCTATGTTAAATTTTTAAAACGATCCTATTTCTTCATTTGAGTTCCGATTTAAAAAAAATTTCGTATATAGAATCTCCTCATCGAGCACTATAAAAAATGTCGTCGTAGCAGTAAATTATCTCTTATAGTTTAGGAGATATTCGCATTTGAATATTAAAATTTTAAAATTTTTACCGTCCTTACTTTAGTTTTTTTGATAATAGCAGGTCCAAATATTTCCGATTTTCGCCATTTTTTTTTATTTGCTTAACAACAAGTTTATATACCAAGCAGTGAAAGAATTATGTAAAAATCATGACTGAGTCCAAAGTTATAGGCATTTAAATTTAAAAAATTAAAAAAAGGCGATTTTTTGTCATTTTTTTGGGAAAAAAGTATCTTTTTCTTTTTAAGTTATCTAAAAAGTTTCTAAGAAGATGTATATAGAATTTATACTTTTTGGAAAGCTGACTTTACATAAAATACGATAAATGAAACAAAACCTAAAAATTTTTGATACCGAGGGGACCAGGTCCATCCAAAAAAACCCTATTTTTTATGGAAAATTAAATTTTGAGCAAAAATTCTCAAATCGCATAGTCGATATCAAATTATAGTGACCTGTTTTATATGACCCAATAAGTTCTTAATCATTTTGTAACGGGTTTCGATAACCCCGCCCCTGGTATGGATATAATAGGCAAAAAACCAAAAAATCCCATTTTTGGGATTTTTTAAAACTTTTTTGGGAATTCCGGGATTTCTAATAAGAAAATTCGAAATTTTTATTTAATTTTGGATTTTGAGTAAAAAAATCTACCTAACTGTAAAATTTCATCAAAAAATATTCATAAATAAAATTTTTATTGCAATTTGAAAAATTTGTATCTTCGCAAAAACTGAATAAAAAACATTTTTTAATTTTTTTTAAAAAAAGTATTCCGCGAATTTTTTAATTTTCAAAAATTATATACAGTTTTGAAAAATAGACAAAATTACCTTTCCATTGATATATAACATGCCTACCTAATGTTTTTTAAGTGACAAATTAATTAGGGAAAACTCAACATCTTTTAGAAAATTTACCTAGCACTATTATTTTCATCCATATATGTAACAAATTTAAGAGTTAACCTTATGGATGAAAATAATAGTGCTAGGCAAATTTTCTAAAAGATGTTGAGTTTTCCCTAATTAATTTGTCACTTAAAAAACATTAGGTAGGCATGTTATATATCAATGGAAAGGTAATTTTGTCTATTTTTCAAAACTGTATATAATTTTTGAAAATTAAAAAATTCGCGGAATACTTTTTTTAAAAAAAATTAAAAAATGTTTTTTATTCAGTTTTTGCGAAGATACAAATTTTTCAAATTGCAATAAAAATTTTATTTATGAATATTTTTTGATGAAATTTTACAGTTAGGTAGATTTTTTTACTCAAAATCCAAAATTAAATAAAAATTTCGAATTTTCTTATTAGAAATCCCGGAATTCCCAAAAAAGTTTTAAAAAATCCCAAAAATGGGATTTTTTGGTTTTTTGCCTATTATATCCATACCAGGGGCGGGGTTATCGAAACCCGTTACAAAATGATTAAGAACTTATTGGGTCATATAAAACAGGTCACTATAATTTGATATCGACTATGCGATTTGAGAATTTTTGCTCAAAATTTAATTTTCCATAAAAAATAGGGTTTTTTTGGATGGACCTGGTCCCCTCGGTATCAAAAATTTTTAGGTTTTGTTTCATTTATCGTATTTTATGTAAAGTCAGCTTTCCAAAAAGTATAAATTCTATATACATCTTCTTAGAAACTTTTTAGATAACTTAAAAAGAAAAAGATACTTTTTTCCCAAAAAAATGACAAAAAATCGCCTTTTTTTAATTTTTTAAATTTAAATGCCTATAACTTTGGACTCAGTCATGATTTTTACATAATTCTTTCACTGCTTGGTATATAAACTTGTTGTTAAGCAAATAAAAAAAAATGGCGAAAATCGGAAATATTTGGACCTGCTATTATCAAAAAAACTAAAGTAAGGACGGTAAAAATTTTAAAATTTTAATATTCAAATGCGAATATCTCCTAAACTATAAGAGATAATTTACTGCTACGACGACATTTTTTATAGTGCTCGATGAGGAGATTCTATATACGAAATTTTTTTTAAATCGGAACTCAAATGAAGAAATAGGATCGTTTTAAAAATTTAACATAGCCGAGGTGTCCTAATTTGAGGACCCCCCGCCGGGCCCCTGGTTGGCCTATAAGGTCCAAATTCAAAACCTAAACTCGACAACACCTCCTCTTTGTGCATACCAAATTTCATTAAAATCGGATTAACCGTTTAGAAGTTACCGAATTATTTCCCTCTTTTTTTTTTCCTATACCACTGTGCTGCGTTCTCTCTTACTAGGGTGCCAGATTTGAATGCGATAAAAAAACGTACATCGTATTTAAAAAAGCTGTACAATTGTTTATTTTCAAAAAATTTCAATTATATTGTTCTAAAAACGCTAGATTGGCATTGTTTGTTATGATCTATATATATATATATATATATAAAACGTATATTTTTGGATCTGTAAATGATATTGATCTGAAATTTTGTTGTCTAACTAACAAGAAAAAATTGAGTCCATTTGGTCCAAAATTACGCCCGGTATTCAAAAAAAGGCGGACCAAGGTATGGTAAATTTTGTATCACTAAATTTTTAAATGCCTATAACTCGGATATTATAAGAGATAAGTAGTATGTTTTTTCAAGATCTCGTCTAGCGCTTTCAGAAAATATAAAAATCTTTGTGTTTGGATGAAAAACAAAAAAATGGCACTAGTTTAAAAATTTTACATGTCGTAGGTACCCTACTTTGAGCCGCCACAGCGCCGTCCCTGGGGCATCTGCGGGGTTCATCTTCA